AATTGAGACCTTGCCTTGTCTCTCAAGGGGAAGGGCTGGGGCCAGTTTTTGGTTCCGCAAGCTTGTGTAGAGCTGGCCCCAAATTTTGGTAAGAATCTGGGCCCGGGTTCACACTCTCGAAAAATAATTTTTGTGATTTTGGAGCATCGACGCGCGTGACTATCGCCTCCGTACTTTTTTTGGCAACATGCTACTAGGTAAATGCAATTGCCTGTAAAGTGTGCGGGAATAATCTAACAGTACTATAGGACTCTTGCGCTATGGTGTAGCTTGCGGCGCGTCTGGCTTTGCTATGGTCCTGAACCTGGAATTTTAGATCCAACCGGCTATAGCTAGCGAATCCAGGATACGTGCAACAGCTTTAACTATGACGTCTACCTTCACAGCTGGCTAGGTTTCTTATTTGGGCTTGCAAGCGCTCTTTGAATCAGTGCTCTCTCTGGGCAGTACGCTTTCTCCATTCGCCCGGATGTGTCCTCACACCGACTGCGTCGCCTCCTTTCTGATTTCCAGCATCTCCTACTGGTGGGCCGGGACGCCGCCACTGAATACTTACGCTATGCTGACCACTTTCACTATGGGCCTCTTGGCTGACTATGTCCACTGATTTGATCTATGATGCAACATCACTTGTGCGGCACGACAAATGAACGGCAACCAAATCGACAAGCTCACTTGGGTGGTTCTCTGGTTGTACCGTAAGGAGTTGCTCTCTGACTAGGTTTCTTTCCCCGGGCTTGTCTCCCTGTGGACCCATGGAGACGTGTACAGATTTGTACAGGCGCAGCCTCCGCTGGTCCAATGGCAGCCTACTTGTAGCTTCAGCAAACTTGTCTTCTAAGATTTATCGAGCCCTCTCTTGATGTGGTGGTTTCGTTCTTGACAAGGGTTCCTTTTTTGCATATCATCCACCTCCCCTGTGGCTGGTGCTGATGGCACCGATTCAGAATTTCTGCTGGAATTGGTTAGCCTACGTTTCTTTTTAGCAAATGTGTTGTGTTTGCTCAATGGCAAATAATGCTCTTGCACACTTTACCTATGACGCTTCTACATGCCTCTACTGCATCAAAAGGTCTGTGTGCCTTATCCATTTATTTCCATTTAACTTGTATCTCTCTACATGGAGTTCTTTCCCAAAATTTCGAACATATGGTACTTCGGTCGTTCGATGCTTACAATGCTGCTTCTGACAGGACAGGCAGTTTTTTCTTGGCCATAGGCTCAACCTTGGATTTTTTTTTGGAAAAACGGTATGCAACTGACTCGCGCTGTTCTTGTCTCCAATTGACCGATTTATGTTGTTTTTTGGTCCCATCACTACAAGCTCCTCGTACTATTCTTTCTGTCTGTGGAATGTTTTTTTCTCTACCCTCGTGCTATGGATTCAATCCAAAATGCTTCTGATCTTGTTTGAAACTTGTCACTGTCAGTTACTTATTTTGAGGGCCCCCACGTCATCCTCGTCGCAGCTTTTTGGGCTCGCAAGCGTATGTCTGGAATCTTATTCCCCAAAGCCCTGCAAACTCAAATCCTTGTTCTTCAAACTTTTAATGCCGTTCAACCTTAAACCTTGAAACCTAACAAACCCGAAAATTATGCATAACATGGCATGGCCTTGGGCCTACCGTGCTGCAGGCATCTCGCGCGCAAAATGTTCAGGCTTTGAAGCCTTAGGTGTTTCAGAGCTCACAGCTTCCGAGGCTTCAGTTTTGAGAACTAAAGTCTGGGGATGGCAGGCTTCTGTGATTTTGGTTTGGGGTTCTGAGTCCCGAGTGCAGGCTGAGGCATGTGGCGGCCTTCAGTTCAAGGCCCACCGTATGGGCTCAGAATGGCACGAATGCAGGGGAGTTGGTTTCCAGAAAAAGCATACCCAGACAAAGGCGCAGTTGATTTTTTTCCGCCCGGGTTTAAGTTGCACAGTTTTGCATCAGGCACGTGCTAGGAAGTATATGTACTCATTTAATTGCATCTGCTTGACTACACTAGCACTATTGATGGACACATTAGATTATAGCGCAGTTCCTGGTTGCGCTCCGTTGCGGGGTGTACTTTTCGAGCGGGAGCAGAAATCCTGTTGCTGGTGATTCCTTGTAGAACTGTTTCTTTCCAATGTGCCAGGGGCATTTTCAAACCTCATGGCATTCATCAAGTCGACTGGATGGGCAAAGTGTGTTTTTTTTTGGTTGAAAAAATCGGATGTTGGAACAAATTGAGTCTTTGAACCTGTTGGTCCCCCTTGCAGTCATCGGGCAGTGAGGCTTGCTTTACGTCATAGGTGCCTTGTACAAAGACGGCAGACATGCATCCCTCGTGTCCGGGATTGTGTTTCATGGCAGCGTCTATGTCGCCTGCTTCGAGGATGGCTGTGAGCAAAACAGGGGTGGCGGGCACTGGCCCAGCCTTCACAGGAAACACTGGTCATCAGTCTTTGAACCTATGGCCCAGTGTGAGCTGCGGGGCACTCGCACTGGCGCTGAGCTTCACTCGAAGGGGAGGGCGGGGCCTTCGCGCACTGTACGGTCCACCAAGGGAGGTCCAGGGCGTTCTCAATTGGAGTGATGGGATAGGCCCTGAACTGAGTAAGACCTGAACTGAGTAAGAGGGATACCCTATAACGAGCACGGCAAAAAGAGACAATGATGTAAATAACCCCCAGGTGCAAATCATCCCATCCGTCTTGCCTGCCGACTTCGGAAAGCTCGGCGAGGATTGTAAGCGTTTGGAAGATGCCGGGGTGGACCGCATCCAGTTCGACGTCATGGATGGAAACTTTGTGCCTAACCTCACGTTTGGCCCAGATGTCATCGCGTACATGCGTAACTACTGCAACACCCCCTTCGAGACACAACTCATGGTGGAGCAGCGCTGTGTTGACTACATGCTTCCGCAGTTCGTGGAGGCCACAAAGGGACCCAATGGCGAACCAGGCGTCGTCATTTGCCATGTGGAAGCCTGTACGCACCTTCATCGAAATTTGAAGCAAATCCGGGACCTTGGTGGATCGCCTTCAGTGGCTCTGAATCCCCACACACCCGCACCTTGGTTCCCCAACAGTGCTCTGTTGCCTCATTTTGAGCAGGTCTTTTTAGTAAGTCTACGCAAAAAAGAAAACAGTCACCTACCTGCCAAGGCACACATGGTGGAGAATGTGCTTGATTTGGTGGACCATGTCCTGGTAATGACCGTCAACCCAGGGTTTGGAGGCCAAGCATATATCCCCACCATGCTTCCCAAGATCCGCATGATTCGGAAGTGGATCGTGGATCGCGGGCTCGATATTGATATTGAGGTGGATGGAGGCATCCGAGCAGCATTCAGAGATTGGGCTATCCTCGCATTAGGAGCCTTTTGCCTGACTTGCTTAAGCTATGTCTTTTTGTTTCTTTCATCCAGAAAAGCAAGGCATCAAAGCGGACAACACGATCTTCGAGTGCGCGGATGCTGGCGCCAATTGTTTCATTGCCGGCAGTGGCCTGTTCGCGTATGATGACCTCTCGAAGGGTGTGCAGGAACTCAAATCCAAAGCCTTGGAGGGCCAGAAGGGCTTGGAGACAAGTGTATAGATGATAGCTCCAGGCATTTTTTGCACACTGGCTCGTATCGTTTGGCATTTATACTGATTTGTACAGTAGCTGGCAATTTTGCACGAAGTGGAAGAAATAAGTTGTACTATTTGTTCTGGACTTGTAAACCAGTTCAGCTTATCAGCTTTCGGCGGTAAGTTGTGCGCGGAGCTGCTTGCACAAGACATGAAGCAGTTGTCTGGCCCAGGAAACGCAAAACATGAAGAAGCTTGCGCTGGTGCTTTTATCTGAAGTGTGCAGGGGGCTGACAAAATCCTTAACTCCAAATGGTTAGAGTGTTGCAGGCCCTCAAAGCCTGCAGGGCTCTTGCAGCTGTCAGTCCAGATTTTCAGATTTCTACTACGGCTCAGGATTTAGACTGGAGCTCACGCCCCAGGAGATTTCCTCGCAGAGGAGGGTCCGGGGGTCTCTTTCATAAAATGGTGAAGCTTAAACCCTTAGTTCGCAGGTGCTGTGCGCGATGCTGCCGGAAGAGGGGCTGGTGACTCGGCTACATTGTTGATCCAAGGAGGTTTCAAAATTGGGGGTCGCTTGCGGACCCTAGGGATATATAGGGATTATCAGGGGACTATAGGGGGAATCTTATTAGTGATTATATGCGAGGGAGTATTTTGAGCAATCCCCCCAAGCACGAATGGGCTAATACTGGTTTAGGGTTTAGGGTTTAGGATGTAGGGTTTAGGGTTTAGGGTTTGTCAGGAAGACCGCAAGTATGTTTGGAGCAAATTCGGAGTGCGTTTACTAAACAAACTGACTCTTCTTACCCCGCTTTGTAATCGCGTTTCACTTGTATTCAAAACCTTCCCACTTCCCCTGATGCTAGCAGCTATTCCCAACATATTGTACTATACCACAGGTTGAGGACTAAGAAATATTCTTCCCCATGTTTTGGCCAGACCTTATCTTAGCGGCCTTGAAATTTTTTTGGGAGATACCAAATCAGGGCCAGAATCCCAAGGAGCCGAAGCAGAACAGAAGGGAACAGGGTTCAGGGCTTAGGGTTAGAGGATCATCTTGAACATGTGGCCCTTCTTGCACCATTGCTACGTGGGAGTTTGCAGCTTAGCAGCCATCTCTTCAAGAGTCTCTGTGTGATGCAGATGTCCTCCTTCAATGAGCGCGAGCGCATGGCAACGTTTCTTTTGATCATGCCACCCTTATTGTAAACCTTGGACCCAACAATTTTCATACTGTCCAATTAGCTGGTCGCGCAGGGAAGGGGGTCAGTTATGGCACAACAGAGCACTTCTCACAACTAGTGTCCCCATAAGTGCCACGTTGCCTATAGGCCCCCAAATCCGGCGACTACTCTGCCATGAAGCCTTCCCTAAATCAATACCCTACGGCCCCGGAAGAGTTCTACGAATGGTGGGTCCCTTCGTACAGGACCGCCCCTCAATAGTGAACATTTTGAGGATCTGCAGGAAACATCAGGAAACATAAGTCGAAACATGGATCTCACCAGCAGTCCCCAAAAATGTTTACGTGGTTAGGCCACTCCGAGGCATTTTGCAGAAGGAGACGAGGTAAGGTAGACCTTGACGGAGACTTGGGCAGTGCAGCTCAAGATCAGCCGTGCAGGATTGTCAGCCCTAGCTAGAAAGACCAGTGTAAGCTTTGAACGTCCAACTTGCCGTCAGAACTTCACTTCACAGTGCAAGCACCATCGACATGCTAAGTTGACTGGCTGAATAGGTAGGTGCGACGGTGTGCAAAGAATTGGCGACGAGCTTGGCTTAAACGTGGAAAGTCAATGAGCACTGTTGTGGCAGTTTCGGGTTTAGGGTTTCCTACGGCTTTGTTGCCGTAAACAATTCATTCAACACATCAGAATTGCAAGGTCAAGTTACGTAAACCTCAATGGTTTCTATGTGACTTGAGGCAGTAGGAGGCAGTGGCATAACTAATGATGCAGGCAGGCATAACCCTAAGCCTTAACTCTTTAACAGTAACCTGTGAATCCTCATCCCTCTTCCCCATTCCTCAAACGCCCAAGCCATATCCCAAAAGATAGAACCTACGAAATAGTTCCCTTTTTGGGGGTGCCCACTTTCCTTTCTGTAAGATGCTAATTATACAACTGGGTAACCTCCAAGAGGGACTACCTTGTGAGGTCTAGGCGGCGTCTGAACCCTGAGCCCTAAACCTAACCCACCCCCAAACCGTAAACCCTAAACACCCCCACAGCTTGTCCAGGTACTCGCCGAGCTGCGCGAGCTGCAGGACGAGCGCCATTCAAGGGTTGTCTGAAGATGCGGTTTAGGGGTCAATATACTATAATATACTATAACCTACTATAATCTACCATAAGATACTGTAAGATACTACAAGAGACTCATAGATATTATAAGATATTATAAGATACTATAAGATACTATAAGATACTATAAGATATGATAAGATATTATAAGATATTATAAGATACTGTAATGCAAGGATTTAGGCAGTTTAGGGTTTAGGAGATCATAGAGCGATTAAGTAAAAGTAGTCTTGGGGTTAGGTAAGGTTTTAGATGTTGTGTGGGGAGTACTAAGCCCAAACCCCAAACCCTAAGGATCATCAAAAGTCCTACCTAATATAACCCCAATATAACCCCAATATAGCCCCAATATAACCCTAATATTGCCCCAATATAGCCCCAATATAGCCCTAATATAAACCCTAACCAGATTTGGGAGATTATTTTTTCAGGCTGGATGAAGAGCTCCTGGTTTAGGCTTTCATGCTTGGGCATCTTGTAATGTGAGCTATAGTCTACACTCCTTAAAAGGGGATATATAGGGGATTATATAGGGAACTACTATAGGGGTTATTAAGGGGGATACTAGGAGTTTAGACTATAGCTCATGTAGGCTTGGAAACTATCACAAGATTATGCTGTTTCTGCTGTGTTGCCACTTCCATGATGGTTGTTCCCGTTCTCTTTTCCGTTATTGATAGTAGTTTCGGTTTTACGATTTAGGGTAAGGGTCGCAGATGCGGGGCGGCCGGCTGGGCAATTGTTGGCGATGTTACAACTACACGATCCTCGTTTGCTGCCGGCCACGACAAGGCCTCATAGAGGTCGGTTGAAGACTTGGCATGAAACTACTATAGTATAATGGGGTTATATACTACTATAGTATAATGAGGTTATATAGGGATAATGGACAAGAAAATTGAAACTACTAGTATATAGTTGTTTTTTTCACTTCGTCCCCTCCACCTCACCCTGAACCTAAGCTATGGGCCCGACATTTGCCCAAGGCGAAAAGAAAATCAAGCCCTTTCCGCCTTCACAGTATTTCAGGCCATAGACCTTGAACCTTGAAGAATTTAGGGGCAAGTTGCGTGCCCTCGCTCTCAAATGCCTACCATTCAAGCTGCTTCTAGGGGCATGTCAGTACCAATGCCCATCATTAGCAGACAGAGTGCTACCTTCACAACAGTGACTGGAGAGCTTCTCCTACAGGAATTTCTTATTTGGTGTTTAACCCCTCAGAATCCCTGTGGATCCCTGAGGAGCCTCCTGCGTTCTGGCTAGATTGCAGGCTTGACAGAATTGACGGGCGGGCGAAAATGAAAGAGCCCCCGCTGGCATCCATGCATAGGCTTGCATGCTCTCAGGCTCGAAAAATGTAAAAATGGAGTTGTCAACCTGTTAAGTCTGTAAAATGCATACGTATGCTCTCAAATGCCAGCAGACAGGCTGCGGGCTTGCTAGAAGGAGGGCTTGACAGAATTGACAAAATTGAGGTCCAATCTCGGCGTGGGAGCGCTGCATGCTTGCAAACTTATTTCATGCTGTATCTATTACAGACCAGAGCTTCTTATTGAAGAAGGCCATGATCCAGTCTCCTGTAATTTGGCCTGAAGTGAGACACAAACCCTAAACCCTCAACACCGGAGTTAAGTTATGAAGCTGCAGAATACACTGCACGGTGCAGAGTAGATTGCTCACTTGTATGGATTCTTTGTAATCCCTCCCACGAGTATTATCGACCTGCACCTCCCAATGCTCAATGTGTAGCCCAAACATAATAATGGGTACTTACCCAAAACAGGCCAATGGAGACCCCCATATACTATAATCCTCGTGACTGGGACCCCCCACAATTCTACCCCCCAATTTTGGGAACCCTCCAATTAATGGGACGGCAAGGGATTAGTTGTGATCAGCTAGATCAGCTGGAGAACCGCATGTCGTACAACGCCGCCTCCTCAAGCGAATGGCCGCCGTCTAAGATTCATAGACCCAGGCTCTGTAGATTGCTATGGCTTCTCTCGCATATCGGTTCACTTTCCTTGACGTGACATCAGAGGAAGGTTTCTGGGCTAGCCGGCTAGCCTTTTTGGACATTTGAACCTTCTTCGCTCTGAGTTTGCAAGGACTCTGTAGCACTTTTTCGAAGGGTTTAAAGGCGAAGCAATTGTGGATGTAGAAAATCTTGCAGCGATTTATATATATTCCAATACGATGTAGGCGTTGCAGCATCAAGGGAGATGTTGCTAAGTGGTGCGCGTTTCTTCCTCCCTCCACTCCAAGCCTTAATCCCAAATCCCTCAACCCTAAATCCCCAAACCCTAAACCCTAAACCCTAAGCCCCAATCCCTAAACCCTAAACCCTAAATCCCAAATCCCTCAACCCTAAATCCCTAAACCCTAAACCCTAAACCCTAAGCCCCAATCCCTAAATCCCTAATCCCTCAACCCTAAATCCCTAAACCCTAAACCCTAAACC